GGCCAAAGACATCCTGGAGGACTCGTTTGGGGTGCTGCTGCAGCGCGGCGGCACGCCGCTCAGCGTCGCCACCCTCAACCTCTACGCCCCAGATCACGCCAGGATCCAGGTGAGGAGCCACGTCAGCATGTACTGGTACCACTGCACGCTGCTGTGCATAGCATAGGCAGCTCCACACAATGCGGCTACGCTCTGCTGTGGCAGCACGATGTCCTTCCTATGCTATGGCCTCTTGCCCCGGAATATTGGACGCTCGCACCGCACATGCTTTACCTGCGGCCCGGCCCCCGCACCCTCGCCTCTCGGCTTGCGACAGTCTCTGGTGACAGCCGAGGACCAGCGGCGGCGCGGCAACGCGGCTGCGCTGTTGGGGGAGCTCCACTCTGTGCTGCAGGGCGCTGGGCTGCAGAAGGTGGTCGCCATCATAGCAGAGGTGCGCAGGCGCCTGGGCCCTGAACCCTGACCCCAGACTCCATTTCGCCGCGTCGCGCTGCCTTGATTGTTGGGTAGTGACATGTGTAGGCCAACGGTTGACCGCTTGCTTGCAATTGCGACTGCCTCTAGCAGCACAGGTACATGACTGAGGGGCTCTTCCCACTCCACATCAGGGGCAGCACGAATGCCGGTCCCCGCCCTTCCCCCTGCCATGCCGCCGCCTGCTGCCCTGACCACCACCTCCAAGCAGCAGCTGCCGCCCGCCCGCCCACCCGCAAGCCGCCTGCTGCGCCCCCGGCTCCCCGCAGGACACCGACGCGTCGCGCGCCGCGCGTGACCGCCTGCTCAAGCGCCGCTTCGGCTACCGCGACCTGGACATAGAGCAGCTCGTGGCGTGGAGGGCGGAGCTGCCGGAATACAACAAGTCGCTGGTGGGGGGCTTCACCCTGTTGGAGCGGCCGCTGGGTGCCGAGCGGCGCCGGTAGCCGCGCCGGGTCGCGGCCCGGCGCGGCAAGAGGCGCGACGGCGGGGTGGGGGGCGAGGAGATTGCGGTTGTGAGGTCTTAAGTGTGGGGGCTGTTTGGGGCGGGAGGGGAACGATGTCTCTGGAAGAGCTGCGAGGTGCCAGCCTTGCAGTGAGCAGGCCGCGGCTTATACGCCTGGCCCTGGGTACTTTTTTCTGACTGTGCCGCTTGTTTGGGCCGGGGGCCAGTGTCTGCCAGTCCACAACGCTGGGGTGTTGAATTGATCACATCATTTACCTTACCAACTTGCTTGCTGATGTGTGGACAGTGGCACCAGTATGTAGAATGCATGTTTTGAGGGCTGCACATTTTTCAGCGCATTGATCAAGGGCAGGGCAGTCAGCGTACGCAATGGTCAAGCAAAGGAAGGACAAGCACATGTAAAAACATCACATGACCATCATGGGGCCCCTGTAAATTCAGCGCCATGACAGACACATGGACGTGCCCAGGACACAAAGCAGTCCCAGCCCTCAAAATTCGCCGCACTGCGCCGCACCGCGCGGCGTGTCGTGGGCGCCGCGTCACATCTCATGCAGTAGCGAAGCCAGCTGCCGCATCTTGGCGCTGGACGCGGCCTTTTGGGCCTCGACCGCCGCCAGCAGCCCGGCCATTTCTCGCTCCACCTCCGCCACTCGCGCATCCGCGCGCTCGGCGCTCTCCTGCGCGGCGGCCGCCGCGGCCTCGGCGGCAGCCTGCGCGGCGGTGGCCTGGGCAGCGGCGCGGCGCTGGCGCTCGGCGTCTGCGGCTGCTGCGTCGAGGCGGGCGCGGAGCTCAGAGACCTGCGTTTAGGGGGTTGTGCAATTTCAACACCAAGGGCGCCTGGATTGCGGTGGGCAAGCTGTGGGTGTGGGCTGTTGGCTAGCAACTGGATCCTGTCAAGTACGCTGATAAATGACAAGCGGCACGGCCCCGTCTGAGGAGCAGGTGCCAGAAGCAACGTGACTTGCGTTGGATGCCACACAGCCCCAAACCCCGCAATGCCCCAGGCCTGAGCAGACTCCATCCCAGCCTTGCCCTCCCTCTTGCCCCCAAGCACGCACCCGCACCCGCAAACGCAGCACACCCCCACCTGCGCGCCCAGCGCCTCCCGCGCCGCCTCCGCCTCCTCGAGCTGCCGCCGCGCCGCGTCGCGCTCCGACCGCAGGCGGCCCTCTTTTGACTCAAACATCACCTTGACGCGCGACACCTCCTGCTCCACAAACCTGATAGTGTACCATGGGGGCGCGTGCAGGATGCAGCCGCTTGAGGGAGGGGCGCGTGACGGGGGCCCCAATCACCCGCTTGTTGTTGTGCTGCACAGGCAGCGCTGGGCTGCGATTCGGGATGCCTGCGACAATTTGATATGTCGTGTCCCCCGTTCACGTCAGCGATGCTGCCTCCTTACCCAGCCGCGCCGCCGATGCTGCCCTTGAGCGCAGCAGCCCGATCAGCAACCCGCAACGCGCTTGTGCCGCGACCCGAAACCGGGTGACAATCCTGCCTAGTTGCGTCCACTTCCACTTCAACTGCCCCGCCACATCGCCCAGCCAACCACTCCCAACCAACTGCCGCCAGCCAGCCACCCGCATCCAAGCACCACTCATCGACTCCCCCAAACAACCGCCGACAACCCACGTGATCATGGCATCCTTCTCAGCCACCGCCTCCTGCGCGGCCCGCGCCCGCGCCTGCTCCTCACGGAGCGCCTCGCGCGCCGCGGCCAGTGCAGCCTCTGCCTTTTCCAGCGCAGAGCGTCCTGCGGTGAGCTCGGCGCGCAGCGCAGTCTCCTCATCGGCTGCAGCCTCCTGGGTCTGGGGTGTGCGTACGCATGAGAGAGTGAGTGTGTGTGTGTGTGTGTGTGTGTGCGCGCGCGCGCACGTGGGGGTGTGTGCTCATGTGTATGCAATTGCAGTCCAGGTTGTTGCATGTATGCTGCGCCGATATGTATGGTGTGCAAGCGTTGCTGCGCCCCTGAAGGACCGCAGGGCACCACCTAACGCGCTCTGCGCGCCCGCTGAATCACGTGGGCCGCCACCTTGTGGAGGCGCCACAAACCCCACGTTGCGCCATACTAGCCCCACCTTGTGGAGCCGGCGCTCCGCCTGGTCTGCCGCCGCGCGCGCGTCGTCGGCCTCCGCCGCCAGCTCCTGCAGCTCAGCCTTGAGGGCCGTCACGCTCTGGTGTGCACTGTCCACCATGGCAGCCTTGACCTGGGGAAGATGTCAGATGCGAGTGTTCGAGTGTGTGTGAGTATGTGTATGTGTTTGTGAGTGTATCTGCGTGCGTGCGTGCGTGCGTGCGTGTTTGTGTGTTTGTGTGTGTGTGTGTGTGTGTGTGTGTGTGTGTGTGTGTGTGTGTGTGTGTGTGTGTGCACGTGCAGGTTTGCAAGCGCGCGTTTATGTATGAGGGAGCACAAGTGCTTTTATACTGTATGATCTTGCATGGTTGAGCGCGGTCGCACTGCTGTTGGGATTTGCAAATAACAAGTACAGGGTGCCATGCGCGCATGCGATCTGCCCTATGCACGCGCTTAAGAGTGTCGGCGCTAGGCTCCCATCTGCAGCGACACCACGTTGAGTTGAGGCACAGCCCGCACCCTGCGTGCCCTCCAACCGCGCGTCCTCGACTGGCCCTCGTCCTGGCCAACCCTTGGATCCCGGGCGCACCTTGACTGCGTCGCGCGCCGCCTCAAGCTGTTCCGCCAGAGACGCCACCTCAGCCTGCAGCCGCGCCGCGTCCCCGCGCGCCGCCTTGAGCTGCCCGTCGAAAGCGGCCGCCTTGGCCACGGCCTCCTCTTGCAGCTGCGCGTGGGCGGCCTGGCAGGGGGGGGGTGTGCGAGGGAGGACGAGAAAACGGGCAGACGGACGTCATTTGGGTGTGACAGGCACGTGTGCAGCAAACATCCTTGCCTTACGAGACGCCCGCAGCCCGTCTCCGCCCAAGCGCGAGCACGGGGCCGACCCTCGCCTGCAGCTTGGCCAGCCGCTCTTCTGCTGCCTGCCACGCCGCCCTCTGCCGCTCCAGCTGCTCCTGCAGCACCGGCGCGCCCGCGGCGGCGCGCTGCGCGGCGACCAGCTCGGAGTGGAGGCGGTCGAACTCTGAGGGCGTGCAGCGCGCCAGCTGGCGGCGCAGGTCCTGGCAGTCGCGCTGCACGACCTGCGGCAGTGGAGGGGGGGAGGTCGGTGCCGCACGCTTGCAAGGGGGCACTGATAATATTGGCACACCCCAAGGTTGAGGCTGCTTAGATGTTGGTAGATGGGGCTGCGACGAATCTGCAGCATTGGAGGTGACAGGCGCGTGTCAGGGTGATGGCAGCACCAGGTTCAGTGCGACGAGCTGAGTGCCTGATGCGCGATGCGATGTGAGCCTCGAGAGGTGGGTCGTCGCATCCGGCCCCACCTGCAGCCGCCCCTTTTGCTCCTGCACCGTGCCCGACAGCTCCGACACCAGCTGCCCCCGCTCCGCCGCCCGCTGCTCCTCCGCGCGCAGCGACTCGCGCAGCGCGCCCGCCTCGGCGGCGGTGGCTGCCAGCTGGCGCGTGAGCTCGAGGCTCTCAGCCTCGCTCTCCTGTAGGGCATACGCCAGCTGTCCCCGCAGAAATGCAATCTGGAGGCCAAGGATGGAACACAAACAGTAACGCGGCAGGTGGAGTCAGCATGGGGTGGGTGACGTGGCAAGCGTGGTTCTGCGTGATCAGTCGAGCCAGCGGGACAGCTGGAGTTAAATTGCGATTCCAGCATGAAATTCACCCAAACGTTCATGCTGGCTGCTTGGAAAACGCCTGGCTTGCGATGGGCGCTGTGCTGCCTTGGGCAGGCTTGATGCATCGGAGGCTTGACGCATGAGGGAGGAGCCGCCTAGCCGACCGGACGCAATTCCCGGCAGCCTCGCCACGCACACCTGCTCTTGAGACGTTGCCTGCTCCCGCGCCGCTGCAGCCGCTGCCGCTTCCGCCGCAGCCGCGGCGCTCGCCGCCGCCACCCGTGCGCCGGCCTCCACCGCCTCACGCTGCTGCCGCACCTCCGCCAGCTCAGCGCCGTGCCGCTGCCGCTCGGCCGCGAGCGCATCACGCGCCTCCCGCGCGTCGGCGTGCGCCGCGGCCTCCGCTGCCTGCGCCTCGGACAGCCGCGCCTCTGCTGCTGCGAGCTTGGCCTGCGTGCGGCCGAGGGCGGCCACAATAAAATTCGCAACCAGCACTTCCAGCGCCGCTCAAATCCCCCCTCCCTTGGTGCGTCCGCAACACTTTCGCAAGCCAAAACCCATGCCTGCACCCACCATCTCACTCGTCCACCCCCCCATCCCTGCCCTATCCTCCAGCGAAAAACACCCAGGTCATCTGTCAGTTTAAACGCCGCCCATAACAGCGGAGCGCCGCGCATGCTCACCTTCATAGCCTCCACCTGGCCGCCCGCGTCCCCCATCGCCTGCGCCACCTGCTCGCTCATGGCCGCCGCCGCCGCGCCGCTGCGCTGCAGCGCCGCCTCGAGCGCTGACACCTGCTGCTCGGAGGCCCGCGCGGCGGCCTGGGGCGGCGGGGTCGTCGCATTTGAGGCGATTCGAACGCAGTGATCAGCGGCATGCAAGACATAGTTATGTCGACAGGCATTATGACCGAACTTGAGGCCACCAATGCGAGTTCGTGGTTGCTGGTCACATAAAATCAGCTTACTGGGGTCACATGGCAGCCTCCCGCGAACATGGCAATGCAGCTGCCCGAATTCTGGACAGCGTCAGCGCACCTGCGCGACCGCCAGCTCCGCCGCCGCCTCCTGCAGCCGCTGCTGCAGCGCCCGCTCCTCCGCCTTGTGCTGCTCGCACACCTCCGCGGCCGCGCGCGCCGCAGCCGCCTGCTGCGCGTCCAGCCGGGACGCCAGCTGAGAGACCTCGGCCCGAAGCCTGCCGAAAGCAAAACATTGCAAATTTACCGCTTAACATAAGGCCGCGTGCAGGGGGTTGACAGCGGTGGCGAAAATGCAGGCGCAGGGGTGACGAGGCCAGGCAAACAACACACCCGCAGCAATGTCTGAATGGCAAGTGCAACCCCTGGCAGTGGCCCCCTGCTAATACAACTCCCACCAACCTGCCCGCCTCCTCCCGCGCCGCGCGCAGCTCCGCCCTGCTCTCCGCCTGCGCGCCCTCCAGCGCCTTGGCCCGCGCCTGCGCCTCCGCAGCCTCCGCGGCCGCCGCCTCGACACGCTCCAGGGCGCGCTGCACCGCGAAGGAAGCCTCCTCGTAGCTCTCCTCCACTCTGCGGCGCCCCTCCGCCTCTGCGGCGCGGACCGCATCGTGCGTCTGCTGGCGCAGCTGCGCCTGAGCGGCACGGCTGGCCTCCAGCTCGTCTGCGCGCGCGTGCGTGTTGGTTGCATCGCAAGGTGTGACGTCGGATGTGCACTGAGCGCTGTTGACTTGTGACTGCGGCAAGCTTCCAATCGCATGTGGTGCGGAATCCAGGCTCGCGCAGGCTGCAGGAAGCCATGGTGGCTCGCATGCTTGAATGCGTTGGGGGTTGGGACGCGTCATGCCCGCCGAGGGGCGCACCTGCCACCCTGGCCAGCTGTCCCCGCAGCTCTTCTGCTTCTGTCCTGAGCCGCTCCACTGCTGGGGCCCAGTCCACGGTCTGCGTCGCGGCGAACGCGGTCACAGGCCCTAGCAGGGCGCCGCCCGTGTTGGTGCTGCTGCTGCACATCTTGCGCTGCCGCAAGGGTGGCGAGCGCTCCTCCTGCCGCTGCCGTCCAGGGCGCGGGCGCCGGCTGTGCAGCGCGGCGCCCTCCTTTCTGGCAGCATCGCTGCCGTCATCACTCCTGCCGCTGCTGTCGTCACCATCGCTGCTGCCGGCACCCCCTCTTTCCTGGATCCCACGCCGCGCAGGGCTTTTAGCCGAAAGTGACCTGGGCGCATCGCGAGCCGCACCACTTGCACGGCCGCGCCTGCCGCCCAAACCATCCTCCACCCGCCTGCGCCCTCCGTCGTCCCGCCCCCACCTGCTGCATTCGCCGCCATCCCCATCGCCGTGGGCAGCGACGCCACCGTCCGCCCCTGCGTAAGTCTCCTGATCATCGCCGCTTGTCACGCCTCCATCCCGCGCCGCCGCATTAAGCCACGGCGGCAGCTGTAGCGCCGCCACCGCCCGCGTCGCCCCCTTGCGCCGCGGCGCCAGCCCAGCAGACCGCCGCACGCCTCGCTGCTGCTCGCCGCTCACTCCTCCGCCGCCGCCGCCCCAGCCGCCGTGCTGCAATTCAGCGGCCCCCAAGGGTCCCTCCTCAAAGCCGCCACCGCTGCTGCCTCCGCCCGCAAACGCCTGCAGCTGCGCGTGGGCCAGCTGCCAGCCCGCTTCGACGCTGACTGCCTCCGCCTCGTCCAGCTGCTGCACTTGCGGCAGCACCTGCCGCAGCGCCGCGTACGCCGCCGGGCTCACGGTCGCAGGGTTGCCGCCGACGCGCAGGCTGCGCAGCGCGAGGCAACCCGCGAGCGGCGCGAGCGCATGCAGCGACGCGAGCGCGTTGTGCTGCAGCGCCAGGCGTTGCAAACGGCCCGTGGGGCCGTGCAGCTCCGAAAGGCCGTCGAGGGAGGATATGTGGTTGTATGAAAGGTTGAGGTCTGCCAGCGCGGTGAGCCCGCTGAGCCCGCGCACGGCGCGCAGCCGGTTGCTAGCCAGGTTGAGGCTGGTCAGTGCTGCAAGGCCAGACAGGTTTTCGATGGCCGCGATCGAATTGGACGACAGGTTGAGGCGGACCAGGCGCGTGAGGTGCGACAGGCCCTCGATGCGGGCGACGTTGTTGCCATGCAGGTTGAGCGCGGTGATCGCAGCGGTCGCGCCGGGGGCATGCAGCTCGTCAACCTGGCGGATAGCCGTGAGGCCCTCCCCCAGATGGGAGACATGCTGTTCCTGCACATCATAAGACATCAGGTGCCTACACTTTTGCGGGGTCCTGCTTGAATCGCAACATCGGTCTATGTATGTGTGGTGACAGGTGTTCGATCAATATGTGAGCTGAGAATCGCATACAAAACAGTTGTGTGAGCATTTGTGATGATGCGGGCGTTGCCAGCATACCGGCGGGCGGGGTGTGTGTCGTGAGATAGGCTGGGCAGCAGGACATGCAATCCGTGCACCTGGGCCATTTGTTTTCGCGTTGATTACTTCCTCCAAAGCAATCCTTCACCTGGCTGCAGCGTGCATCTCTCAGAGACATTGCACACCATGCTGCACTCTTCCAGCCAGGGCCAGTGCGCCATGCACTGCAGCAGGCAGGCCTCTAGCGCGCTGCCAATGAGGAGGCCTAGGCTCTCCAGCACTCGCGTGAACGCCACCGTGGCAGGTGAGCCTGCCTGCGGGGAGACCGTCTGCAGCGACCCGTCGCTCACTTTCGGGTGCCCACCCCGGATCCTTTCCCCACACGTTCTCAGCAGACAAGGTGGACGGCAGGGCGGTGCGCCGTTCGCTTAACAAGACGGGCAGGTACGTGCGCAAGCCCGTCAAGGACCCCAAGAGCAACGAGCTGATGGAGGAGCACGGCGTTGGCTACTCCAGCACCGGCCTGGTGGCGCAGATGCGCGAGCAGGGGAATGAGTGGCAGCAGGGAGAGGTGAACGTCAAGCTGGCCAAGGCTTATGGCTACTGCTGGGGCGTGGAGCGCGCGGTGCGCATGGCCTATGAGGCGCGCAACGCGTTCCCAGACAAGCGCGTGCACATCACCAATGAGATCATCCACAACCCAGAGGTCAACCAGGTGGGTGGGTGCATGCAGCTGCGGCCAATCGGGTGCTTTGACACTCAGCAGTGCCGGCTGGCCAGCAGCATGCGCTGGGGACCAGACGGCGCGGGTTTGGGCAGCAGGACATGTGTGCAGTTGGCGCCAGTCGTCAGTTGCGGTTGGTGACCTGGCTTGCTGCAGGGTGTGGGCCTATGTGTTCATGATGGTCTTGAAGCAGTCAGATGAGGTTTTGAAAATAGTAACACTACATATCGATGCTCCAGCCCTCCCATCCGCTTTGTCAATGCCCTGCTTTGACCGCGCCCAGATGCAGCCTGCATCCAATCAGCACTTGGCACCCATCGACGCGCCTGCCCCTGATCGGACCGCCCCACCACCCCAAACTGCTCACATTGCTGCCTGGGGCCTCATTCATTCCGCGCAGCGGCTGCGCGAGCTGGACATCAACATTTTCGAGGAGGAGGCGGGGCCCAAGGGCAAGGACTATGGCGCCATCAAGGAGGGCGACGTGGTCATCTTCCCGGCCTTCGGCGCGACGGTGCAGGAGATGCAGCTGTTCCGCGACAGGAAGGTCGAGATGGTGGACACCACCTGCCCCTGGGTCGCCAAGGTGCGCGCGCGGGGCTGGCCGAGCGGGAGGCGGGCGGGTGCTGCTATTGGGTTGAGGGGCAAAGCAGCTGGTGGTTGCGTGAGCGTGGGCGGGGCTGCAGGCCATGGAAGAGGCTCGGCTGGGCAGCAGCAGCGGCCGGGGAGGCGCTGCGACGTGGCGCCCACCTGACTGCGCTGCACGGCTTTTCGCGACTTGGTTGGGCGACTGAGTCGCAGCAGCGTGCGGCGGGTGATCGCATGAGTTGGGCAGCGGGCAGGTGCAGGCAGCAGCGTCCGTTGTATATGCTGAAAGCTTCAGTCTGCACTGCAGCTGCCATGGCGCACACACAAGTGGAACCCCTTTCAACACACACACACACACACACACACACACACACACACACACAAGCAAGACACATATCGGGTGCGAGCGCGCTCACGCGCCGTCACCCAACCCCGCGCCCCCCAGGTGTGGAACAGCGTTGACATCTACGGCCGCAAGTCCTTCACGTCGGTGATCCACGGCAAGTACAGCCACGAGGAGACCGTCGCCACCGCATCCTTTGCTGACAAGTACATCATCGTGCGGGAC